CACTCTTTACTGAACACAACTTAATGATACACTACTTTACTGATACACACTGAACACACTTTACTGTACACTACTTTACTGATACACTACTTTAACTGGATACACTACTTTACTGATACACTACTGACACCCTACTTACTGATACACCTACTTTACGGGAACACTACTTTACTGATACACTACTTTACTGATACACTACTGACACACTACTTTACTGATACACTACTTTACTGATACACTACTTTACTGATACACTACTTTACTGATACACTACTTTTACTGATACACTACTTTACTGATACACTACTTTACGATACATACGACCCTTTACTGATACATTTCTTTAAATGATACCCCTACTTTACTGACACACTACTGATACACTACTGACACACTACTGACACACTACTTTACTGATACACTACTTTACTGATACACTACTGACACACTACTTTACTGATACACTACTTTACTGATACATACTTTAACTGATACACTACTGACACACTACTACGGGACACCTAACTTTACTGATACACTACTTTACTGATAACACTACTGACAAAACTACTTTACTGAACACTACTTTACTGATACACTACTTTACTGATACACTACTGAACACTACTTTACTGAACACACTTTACTGACACACTATTTTAAACTGTACACTACTTTACTGATACACTACTGAACACTACTTTAACTGAACACACTTACTTTACTGTACACACTTACTGATACACTACTGACACACTACTTTACTGACACACTATTTTTACTGATACACTACTTTACTGATACACAAACGACAACTACTTTACTGAACACTATTTTACTGATACATACTTTACTGATACACTACGGGAAAACACTACTTACTGACACACTACTTTACTGAACACTACTTTCCCTTAAAACCACTACTTTACTGATACACTACTGATGCACTATTTAAACTGATACACTATTGATACACTACTGATACACTACCTGAAAACAACCCTACTTTACTGATACACTACTGAAAACACTACTGACACACTACTTTACTGATAAAACTACTGATACACTATGACACACTACTTTACTGATACACATACTGATACCATTTTACTGATACACTACTGACACACTACTGAACCCCTACTGAACACTACTTACGATACACTACTGAACACTACTGATACCCCTACTGACACACTACTTTACTGATACATTTGCTGATACACTACTGAACCCCTACTATACACTACTTACTTGTTTACACTACTGATACACTACTAAACACACTACTTACTGATACACTCTGATACACTACTGAACCTACTGATACACTACTGATACACTACTGACACAACTACTTTACTGATACACACTGATACACTACTGAACCCAACTACTGATACACTACTGATACCCCTACTGATACACTACGAACACTACTGAACACTATTTTACTGATACACTGCTGATACACTACTGATACACTATGATACTACTTTACTGATACACTACTGATACACTACTGACACACTACTTTACTGATACACTACTGATACACTACTGATACACTACTGATACACTATTTATACAACTACTGAAACACTACTGATACACACTGATACACTACTGAACACTACTGATACACTACTGAACACTACTGATACACTACTGATACACTACTGATACCCCTACTGATACACTACTGATACACTACTAAATACACTATTGATACACTACTGATACACTACTGTACCTTGAACACTATTTGATACACTACTGATACACTACTGATACACTACTGATACATTTCTGATACACTACTGATACACTACTGATACACTACTGATCCACTACTGATACACTACTGATACACTTTCTGATACACTACTGATACACTACTGATACACTACTGATACACTACTGATACACTACTGATACACTACTGATACACTACTGATACACTACTGATACACTACTGATACACTACTGATACACTACTGATACACTTCTGATACACTACTGAAATATTACACTATGCCTACGAACCCCTACTGATACACTTCTGATACACTACTGATACACTACTGATACACTACTGATACACTACTGATACACTACTGATACACTACTGATACACTACTGATACACTACTGATACACTACTTTACTGTTTACACTACTGATACACTATACTGATACACTACTGATCCCATTTACTGATACACTACTGATACACTACTGATACACTACTGATACACTACTGATACACTACTGATACACTACTGATACACTACTGATACACTACTGATACACTACTGATACACTACTGATACACTACTGATACACTACTGATACACTACTGATACACTACTGATACACTACTGATACACTACTGATACACTACTGATACACTACTGATACCACTCCCTGATACACTACTGATACACAAACTGATACACTATGATCCCTAGATAAACACATACTGATACACTACTGAACACTACTGATACACTACTGATACACTACTGAACACTACTGATACACTACTGATACACTACTGATACACTCCCTGATACACTACTAAATACACTACTGAAAACACTACTTTACTGATACACTAACCCTCGATACACTACTGATAAACTACTGATACACTACTGATACACACCTACTGATACACTACTGATACACTACTGATACACTACTGATACACTACTGATACACTACTGATACACTACTGATACACTACTGATACACTACTGATACACTACTGATACACTACTGATACATTTCTGATACACTACTGATCCCACTACTGATACACTACTGATACACTACTGATACACTACTGTTTACACTCTGATACACTACTGATACACTACTGATACCCTACTGATACACTAACTGATACACTACTGATACACTACGATACACTACTGATACACTACTGATACACTCTAAATACACTACTGACACTACGGGATACACACGAACACTACTGATACATACTGATACACTACTGTACAAACACTAACTTAACTATGATACACTACATACACTACTGAAACACTACTGATACACTACTGATACACTACTGATACACTACTGATACACTACTGATACACTACTGATACACTACTGATACACTACTGATACATTTCTGATACCACTACTGAAAACACAATCTGATACACTACTGATACACTACGATACACTACTGATACACTACTGATACACTACTGATACACTACAAATACACTACTGATTCCCACTACTGATACACTACTGATACACTACTGATACACTAACTCGATACACTACGATCCCACAACTGATACACTACTGATACACTACTGATACACTACTGATACACTACTGATACATTACTGATACACTACTGATACACTACTGATACACTACTGATACACTACTGATACACTACTGATACACTACTGATACACTACTGATACACTACTGATACACTACTGATACACTACTGATACACTACTGATACACTACTGATACACTACTGATACACTACTGATACACTACTGATACACTACTGATACACTACTGATACACTACTGATACACTACTTTACTGATACACTACTGATACACTACTGATACACTACTGATACACTACTGATACACTACTGATACACTACTGATACACTACTGATACACTACTGATACACTACTGATACACTACTGATACACTACTGAACACTACTGAACAAACTGATACACTACGATACACTACTGAAACACTACTGATACACTACTGATACACTACTGAAACACTACTGATACACAAATGATACACTACTGATACACTAACTGATACACTACTGATCCCACTACTGATACACTACTGATACACTACTACTGATACACTACTGAAAACACTACTGATACACTACGATTCACACTGATACACTTCTGATACACTACTGATACACTACGGGATACACTACTGATACACTACTGATACACTACTGATACACAACTGAACACTACTGATACACTTCTGATACACTACCTGAACACTAGATACACTACTGATACACTACTGATACACTTCTGATACACTACTGATACACTACTGAATACACTACTGATACACTACTGATACACTACTGATACACTACTGATACACTACTGATACACTACTGTTTACACTATGATACACTACTGATACACACTATACACTACTGATACACTACTGAACCTACTGAAACACTACTGATACACTACTGATACACTACTGATACACTACTGATACACTACTGATACACTACTGATACACTACTCTACTGATACACTACTGATACACTACTGACACACTACTCTACTGATACACTACTGATACACTACTGATACACTACTGATACACTACTGATACACTACTGATACACTACTGATACACTACTGATACACTACTCAATTTCCCAGCTTTGGCTGGTAACTCTGTACATGTTAGTTCTCTAGATCCTTCACAACACTTGTCTTTCTGCAGACTGGGCACATGACGGGAGCGTTATCTAATTTGCCTCTTATATTTATACACCAAAGTAGTGTAACACACAGGTAGCTGGCTAGTTGTCTTTGGCCAAGACAATGCTACCGTGTTACACTGGTGAGAAGTGACAAATGCACCGCATCACTGTTGGTGATACTTGACTTCTGCACTATATCACCGATAATTAAATTTGATTCATTCATTCATTAGGGAATTGCCGGTACTTCTGGCCCGGGTCTTCTCCAGATGGTGACCCGGCGGTGACTCCCGGGTTGGGAGATTAAATTTGATTATTGCTCTACATTAGTACTGGTGACACATGACAATACAATTATGTGGTGATGACACGTAATGGTGGAGGTGTGCTTCAGGTAACTACAGTTGTGTTACTATCAATATGTACAGGAGAATCAGGTGACATCAGTGATAGCAGAGGTGTGGATCAGGTACTTAAATGTATGCTACCATCCACAGGTACAGTGACATCAATTGCAAGCCTAGCTCTCTGACAGAGGTGGGCTGCCAAGACTTGATCCACGGTCTGGTGAAGCACAGTGTCAGGTTAGGACGGATAACAATACTCACTAACGTGGTCATTACCAACGACCAGAAGGACCAGTTGACCTCCCTGGCTGGGACAGCACTCAAATGTTTCTTACTCTTGTAAGTACCTTTGTTACTCACTCTTGTAAGTACCTTTGTTACTTGTGTCATCACTTTACTGTAGGAGATTTCATGTTATTTAAAGCCTCGAGATTAAGCCTAGGAAAGTGAGCCAGTCTACATTACCTAGGCCCATCACGGGAGCCAGTCTACATTACCTAGGCCCATCACGGGAGCATCACATTACCTAGGCCCATCACGGGAGCCAGTCTACATTACCTAGGCCCATCACGGGAGCCAGTCTACATTACCTAGGTCCATCACGGGAGCCAGTCTACATTACCTAGGTCCATCACGGGAGCCAGTCTACATTACCTAGGCCCATCACGGGAGCCAGTCTACATTACCTAGGCCCATCAAGGGAGCCAGTCTACATTACCTAGGCCCATCACGGGAGCCAGTCTACATTACCTAGGCCCATCACGGGAGCCAGTCTACATTACCTAGGTCCATCACGGGAGCCAGTCTACATTACCTAGGCCCATCACGGGAGCCAGTCTACATTACCTAGGCCCATCACGGGAGCCAGTCTACATTACCTAGGCCCATCACGGGAGCCAGTCTACATTACTTGGGCCCATCAAAGTAGCCAGTCTACATTACCTAGGCCCATCACGGGAGCCAGTCTACATTACCTAGGCCCATCACGAGCCACTCTACATTAAACCCAGGCCCATCACGGGCCCAGTCTACATTACCTGGCCCATCACAGGAACCAGTCCCACATTACCCAGCCCCTCACGGGAGCCAGTCTACATTACCTAGGCCCATCACAGGAGCCAGTCTACATTACCTAGGCCCATCACGGGAGCCAGTCTACATTACCTAGGCCCATCAAAGGAGCCAGTCTACATTACCTAGGCCCATCACAGGAGCCAGTCTACATTACCTAGGCCCATCACGGGAGCCAGTCTACATTACCTAGGCCCATCACAGGAGCCAGTCTACATTACCTAGGCTATCACGGGAGCCAGTTTTACATTACCTAGGCCCATCACAGGAGCCATCTACATTACCAGCCCATCACGCGACCATCTACATTACCCAGGCCACACGGGAGCCCAGTCTACATTACCAAAGGCCCATCACGGGGGACAGTCCACATTACTAGGCCCCATCACGGAGCCATCTACATTACTAGGCCCATCACGGGAGACAGTCTACATTACATAGGCCATCACGGGAGCCAGTCTACATTACCCAAAGGGCCCCTTTACGGGAGCCAGTCTAAAATTACCTAGGCCATCACAGGAGCAGTCACATTTCCAGGCCATCACAAGACCACACATTTCCTAGCCCACACGGGAACAGCTACATTACCTAGGCCCATCACGGGAGACAGCTACATTACTGGGCCCCTACGGGGGCCGTCCCACTTACTTGGGCCCCCCAAAGGGGCCAGTCTACTTACCTACCCTCACAGGGCCATACATTACCTAGGGGCCCCTCACGGGGGGCCATCTACATTACCTGGCCATCACGGGACCAGTCTACATTACTAGGGGCCCTACGGGGAAAACTACATTCCTGGCCCATAGGGAGACAGTCTACATTACCGGCCCATCCGGGGGCCGCTCATTACCTAGGCCCATCACGGGGGCCGTCTAATTACCTAGGGCCCCACAGGGGCCATCTACATTACCTGGCCCATCACAAAGCCCGTCACATTACCTAGGCCCCCACGGGAACACTACATTACCTAGGCCCCACGGGGCGTTACTTACATGGCCCCCTCCGGGAGCCATTACATTTCTTGGGCCCCTCAAAGGAGCCATCTACATTACCTAGGCCCACACAGGGGCCAGTCTACATTACCCAGGCCCCTCACGGGGGCCCTTACATTTCCTAGGCCCCTCACTGGAGCCAGTCACATTACCCAGGCCCCTCCGGGAACATCACATTACCTAGGCCCATCACGGGAACAGTCTCATTTCCAGGCCCATCACGGGAGCCAGTCTACAACCTAGGCCCTCACGGGGGCCCGCTACATTACCTAGGGCCCCTCCGGGGGCCGTTACATTACCAGGCCCACACGGGAGCCAGTCTACATTACTTGGGCCCCATCAAAGGAGCCAGCTAATTACCTAGGCCCATCAAGGAGCCCGTCTACATTTCCTAGGGCCCCTCCGGGAGCCGTCTACATTTAAACCCGGCCCCCCACGGGGGGCCAGTCACATTACCTAGGCCCATCACGGGAGACAGTTACTTACCAGGCCCATCACGGGAGACAGTCTACATTACCCAGGCCCATACGGGAAACCAGTCTACTTACCCAGGGCCCATCCGGGAGACAGTCACATTACCTAGGCCCCTCCGGGAGCCAGTCTACATTACCTAGGGCCCCTACGGGGGCCAGTCTACACTACCTAGGGCCCCTCAGGGGCCCGTCTACATTACCTAGGCCCATCACGGGGACATCTACATTTCCAAGGGCCATCAAAGGGGCCAGTCTACATTCCTAGGCCCATCACGGACCAGTCACATTACCTAGGCCCATCACGGGGGGACGTCTACATTTCCTAGGTCCATCAAGGATCCGTCTACATTACCTAGGCCCCTCCGGGGGACATCACATTACCCAGGTCCCCCAAAGGAGCCAGTCTACATTACCCAGGCCCATCACGGGGGACAGTCTACTTACCCAGGTCCCTCAAAAGGGGCCATCTACTTACCTAGGTCCCCAAAGGAGCCAGCTACATTTTCCTAGGGCCCCTCAAAGGAGCCAGTCACTTACCGGCCCCTCACGGGAGCCATCTACATTACCCAGGTCCACAAAGGAGCCAGTTACATTACCTAGGGCCCCCAAAGGGCCAGTCTAATTACCTAGGCCCCTCAAGGAGCCCCGTCTACATTACCAGGCCCATCAAAAAAGCCCGTCTACTTCCTAGGTCCATCAAAGGAGCATCACATTACCCAGGGCCCCTCAAAGGGCCATTACATTACCTAGGCCCATACGGGAGCCATCTCATTTCCTAGGCCATCACGGGAGACACTACATTACCGGTCCATCAAAGGGCCGTTTCATTCCTACCCTCAAAAGGAGCCAGTCTACATTTCCTAGGTCCATCAAAGGACCAGTCTCATTACCCGGCCCCTCAAAGGAGCCCTCTACATTACCCGGCCCATCACGGGGGCCTCCACTTACCTAGGTCCATCACGGGGGACAGTCTACATTACCCAGGGCCCACAAAGGAGCCCGTCTACATTTTCCAGGCCCATCACGGGAGCAGTCTACATTACCTAGGCCCCTCAGGGGGACAGTTACATTACCTGGGGCCCCTACGGGAGACAGTCCAATTACCTACCCATCACGGGGGGAAGTCTACATTACCAGGGCCCCTACGGGCCAGTTACATTACCTAGGCCCACCCCGGAGACAGTCTCATTACCTAGGCCCACACAGGAGCCATCTACATTACCAGGCCCCCCCCGGGGGGAGTTACATTACCTAGGCCCATCACAGGAGCCTCTACATTACCTAGGCCCATCACGGGGGACGTCTACATTTCCTAGCCCCCTCCGGGAGACAGTCACATTACCCAGGCCCACACAGGGGCCAGCTACATTACCAGGCCCCACAGGGGCCAGTCACATTCCTAGGGGCCCCTCACGGGGGACGTTTCATTACCTAGGCCATCACAGGACCAGTTTCATTACCAGGCCCCCCCGGGGGAAATCTACATTTCCCAGGCCCATCACAGGACCAGTCTCTTTCCTGGCCCACCACGGGGGATTACATTACCTAGGCCCATCACGGTAGCTCCACTTTTAACAGAAAGCAGTTCTTGATCCAGGACATCAGAGGACACCAATAGTTATTTACACTTTCATAAGAGATAATATTACCAAAGAATTTGAGCAACCATCTACTACCTATTAGAGTATATTGCTGGGAGTGTACTGGGAGTGTACTGGGAGTGTACTGGGAGTGTACTGGGAGTGTACTGGGAGTGTACTGGGAGTGTACTGGGAGTGTACTGGGAGTGTACTGGGAGTGTACTGGGAGTGTACTGGGAGTGTACTGGGAGTGTACTGGGAGTGTACTGGCAGTGTACTGGGAGTGTACTGGGAGTGTACTGGTAGTGTACTGGGAGTGTACTGGGAGTGTACTGGGAGTGTACTGGGAGTGTACTGGGAGTGTACTGGCAGTGTACTGGGAGTGTACTGGGAGTGTACTGGGAGTGTACTGGGAGTGTACTGGGAGTGTAGTACTAGTAAAGTACTGGGAGTGTAATACTAGTAAAGTACTGGGAGTGTAGAACTAGTAAAGTACTGGGAGTGTAGTACCAGTAAAGTACTGGAAGTGAAGTACTAGTAAAGTACTGGGAGTGCAGTACTAGTAAAGTATTGGGAGTGTAGTACTAGGAAAGTACTAGGAGCGTAGTATTAGTAAAGTACTGGAAGTGTAGTACTAGTAAAGTACTGGAAGTGTAGTAGTAGTAAAGTATTGGGAGTGTAGTACTAGGAAAGTACTAGGAGCGTAGTACTAGTAAAGTACTGGGAGTGTAGTACTAGTAAAGTACTGGGAGTGTAGTACTAGTAAAGTACTGGGAGTGTAGTACTAGTAAAGTACTGGAAGTGTAGTACTAGTAAAGTATTGGGAGTGTAGTACTAGGAAAGTACTAGGAGCGTAGTACTAGTAAAGTACTGGGAGTGTAGTACTAGTAAAGTACTGGGAGCGTAGTACTAGTAAAGTACTGGGAGTGTAGTACTAGTAAAGTACTGGGAGTGTAGTACTAGTAAAGTACTGGGAGTGTAGTACTAGTAAAGTACTGGAAGTGTAGTACTAGTAAAGTACTGGAAGTGTAGTACTAGTAAAGTACTGGTAGTGTAGTACTAGTAAAGTACTGGAAGTGTAGTACTAGTAAAGTACTGGGAGTGTAGTACTAGTAAAGTACTGGGAGTGCAGTACTAGTAAAGTACTGGTAGTGTAGTACTAGCAAAGTACTGGGAGTGTAGAACTAGTAAAGTACTGGGAGTGCAGTAACAGTAAAGTACTGGAGTGTAGTAACTAGTAAAGTACTGGGATGTAGAACTAGTAAGTACTGAGTTA